CAATGTACAAGTCAGTGTTTTTATCCTCCCACACGAATCTGGTACCAATCTATCGTCCTCGGCGTATCAAAGGCTCGGTTGGCTTGAGCGGGAGCCGATCCGGGATTTGATTCCCGGGACCGTGCGCGTGGTGCCACTTGCCACCACACCACCTTCCGCGAGCATGAGTTCGATGAATAAATAGTGGAGATGTGAATGAGTAACCAGACGAAGGAGAAGCGAGAGAGCACGCGAACTATCGAGGCGGTCACCTTTGTGCTATGGTCGCAGTGGGCGTTTTCTGATATAGCAGGGCGTGGATAGACATTTGTCATGAACCCTTGGCTCCTTCAGTACCCACTATCAAGTCGCGATGGTAGTGCAACCTCTGGAACCGCCGGGCCTCAAAGGCCATCTCTGGCTTTCTAGGGAATGACTTTTTTGAGGGTTTGTAACGATAGTTAGAACTCCTGAATTCCCTGTTTTCCCTGCCGGGCCTGTCGAGGGACTGAGTTCACTTTCTCTTTCTCGCAATTCTTGGATCACGTATTCTAAACACTGTAAACGTTTCTTCACTTAATGGGAAAGATTTCTCGAGACCGATGCGAATTTAATTCTTTTTATAGGTTCAACGATTCCTCCATTTCTTTTTTTAGCACGGTGAAGTTTGAAGTCATCTAATATTTTTCTTATTTCAAGCACAATCGCGGATTACTATAGCGACAAAAATGACTTCACCCGTTGCAATGAGTTCTTCTCTGTGGCACTGCAAACGTACGGCTATGCGGAAATGGTTATATCGGCAATGTTCTTTATGACTGCTGCGTAAGTTGAATTGAACACCAGGAATTGAACAGTACAGAAAGGCGCCATTGTCAACAGGAATCTCACGCGCGAAATCGCGTGGCCTTGGGGTCAACTGATATGACGTACAATGCGCCGCATCGAGCTCAAAAATCTAAACGTATAGCAAGGGGTCAACGCGCGACATCGCGCGGCCTTGGGGTGTCGCGTGCGCGGCAAGTGATACCAGACATTCGTTTAGTATGAGAAGCGATGGAGAAGCAGGGATGGCAAGACAGCATGCGTTTGGATGGGAGCACGAGAGAGTGACAGGGGATGACTGCCGTGGACATCGTACACCCAACGATGCGCGATGTCGCGTAGTGCCCTCTTGCAACATGCTCTTATCGCTCCTATTCACGTAACTGGTGCTGCGTTTCCCACCACGTCGTAGTGTTTTTGGGTGGAGGGGGGGGTGGCAAAAAGGAATGCCAGAGCTCACTAATGAGACCGGGCGATGTTGAATCCATCTAAGCCCGCTGGAATTTTTTTTGATGACTGCATCCTAAAGAAATTTCTCTTTCAAAGCGGCAACGTTCTTATACATGCCATTTTCCAGGCTCTTCTTCATAACTGGTTTCTCTTCAACATTCATTTGCGATGTTATTTTCAAAAGCGAAACCCGCGAATTCGAGCCTCGCGACTCATTTTACCACGCGCTAGACAACAAAAGAAAAATCCCAATATACATCAAGTAAGTCGCATTCATCTCCTTCGCTTCCTTCCACAAATGGTGAAGGATTGGCACAAAATGATACTGCTCGTAGCTGTAGGGTGCGGATCTGGAGATCCGAAGTAGCGTCGCGAGCGTTGCATTCGCACCATGACTCACATAGGGGATGCTGTACCCAAAAGTGCGCACAAACTGAGTTTTTGGGAGGCGACTGCACATAACACCGCGCAGTTCTCGTTTAGGCGGCCCCTCTCACCAAATTGGCGTCGCTCTCGCTTCCTGGCCTCATTCCGGAGCTTTCTGCCCATTCCTTCCCCGGTCAATGATGAAACATACATCGGCTAGGCTATGCAAAAGGCGTACAACACAGGATACAGAACTTGGGTTGACCAAGACCAGCTTAAGGTAAGCTCAATTGTCTGCATTCACGGGGCGGACACATTCGAATTCCCGCGCAATTGTCGGGATACTGTATCCACTCTGTTTTTCTTAACTTATAATCCTGTGCTCCAAACTGTACGGTGAATTCCCTCATAATGCCAGGGAATTAGTTTATTGTTCCCAGGTAAAGGGTTTCTTTAGGAAAATGTACGAGAGGTGTCAACATGGCCTCAAATTTCATGTTGCACTGGAATTGTCTCGACTCTTTTTTCCATCGAAAGATCTTAAGGTGAGATATGCATTGCTATACTATTTGCAGAGAGAGTGTGCAATTTTTCCAACATCGAAAACGTTTTACAGAAAAGGGCCTTCGTTGTTCGAGACATAGATGTATGTGAACTTATGACTGGATTGTTCGCAAAGACTAACTAAGACTTTTGGTGGATGTTGCGAAAGGCTATAGCGCAGAGAAATAAAAATTGCTACCACCAAAGCATCGAGGTGTACAAAGAACATGTCGCGAGCCAGGAGATGATTTTTTTTTCCAAAGGAGAGGACACCGGGATGGATGAACCCTCTTATTATGCGTGAAAAGTTGGAATGTGAAAGGTCAGAGCGTCGCAGACGTGAGATTTCGGAGAAAAACAGAAAAATGGCGCCATTCAAGAGATTGAGTCCTAGTTGTCCGTAGACCAGTTCGGCTAGGAGGAGCATTTTGAACTTTCGCTTTTCCCACTGTCGTGTCGAGCCATCAAGTAGAGACCTGTCAACTCTTGTAATGCAATAAACACGTCCATATGAAGAAGCCAGCGGGCGAAATCCCCCCCTCCCCTCCGCTACACCGTCAACCAACTGGTGGCGTGATACCGGGCTGACTACTTGCCTGCGACAAAAGAAGTTGAAGCCCACATCAGCGTGATGAAGATGAAATGGTGCCATGAATGGTGAGGAAGTGGGAGGGGGGCTCACGTTTTTGAGTTTAGGGCATCATAAGTGCAAAATCTGATATGCTCCTATAGTCGCCACTATGAGAAAGACGCGCTTTCCGATCCCGTTGGCAAGGCTGCCCGCACTTCAGGTTGCTCGGAAAAACGGTCCAAGGGACGCTCCAAACAGCGCTGGACCTGGCGCGGTGCATACAAACATGGAAAATAGCGAGAATTCACCCCGGCCAGGCAATCGGGAGAGATGTTGCCACGGTACATGCTGAATATAGCCATTATTGCCACCTCCATGTTCTGAGCCGAGCAACTCGTCCAGATCGCCCAATATCACGATCGTTCCTATCGTTCTTCATTTGTACACTACCAACTCCTCAATAGTAGGACATATCATTTCTCAAAACGCTCATTATGTTGGGCGATCTGGACGAGTTGTCCCGCTCAGATGACGGATGTGACATGCCCGTCGCGCTCGAGCAGCAGCACGACTGCTGAAAGCTGCAATGCTACTACACGCCATTCGACAGCTTCATATCGAAAGAGTGGACTCCGCCACTGGATGAGATAAACGCCAAAGAAAAAGAATGGGTGCAATCACTTCTGAGCCGAGGGTGGATAAGCCCGCAACCTGGGAAATCAGCTGGGTCTTGAAAAGTCGCGCATAATATCGATACTGAACATAACCTATATCTGGCTGACGCTGGCTGTACCTCAAAAGCTTATTCCACGCCGATCATGTTGGTGGAGTCATTTGAGCCCCTGCGCCTTCCTCGATTGATGCGTTCCTTTATTTACTGTCTAAAAAGGGGAGTCTACCAATGAGAAAAGCGCAATGATTGAAATGACCTCACCCACACCATTTGCGCAGTATTGCATTTTGTTGGTGGGTCTGCACTTATACCAAAACAAAGGGCTCTTCGACTAGGCTATTTCAGGCCTCCTGAAAATCATGCAATTACGGGAAACGTCACTTCAACAGTTGGGAGTATAACGGAAATACTTGCAAAACTGCACACTCATTTGAAGGTCACTTTAAATTTTGCAACAGTCACAATTCCTCGATTGTGGCTTAGCTTCGAAGAGCTCCCGTCGTTTTCAGGCTGCCTCTAAATTCTCTTCGATGAACTTGGATCAGTGTATTGTTGACAATGATGGAACAGGTAC